TTTTGATACAGGGTCTTACTCTGTTACCTAGACTGGATGGAGTTCAGTGCCAGGATCTCAGCTCAAAGAAGCAGCCTCTGCCTACCAGGCTCAAGTGATCCTCCCTCCTCAGCCTCCAGAGTACCACCACACCCAGCTAACTTTTGTATCTTTTGTAGAGACAGGATTTGCCTTCTTGCCCAGGCTGTTATTGAACTCCTGGGCTCAAGGGATCCTCCCACCTTGGCCACCCAAAGTGCTGGGCTTACAGGCATGAGTCACCACGCCCAGCCTTAGAAAAGCTTTCAAATATTAGGGAAGTGTCAAGCTCATGATAAAATACACATCTTCCAAAATTCTAATTTTTGCTTAAGCTCAAATTTTATTGTTGCCAACAAACAGTGTCAGTTGTTTTCCTCGAAATAACAGGTTCACATCATCCATTCTCAAGAAAACATCTTCCAAATACCCAAGTCTGGGTGAACATAATTTTTCTGCAGTTATTTTTATAAAAATAAAAATGCTGTTCCATACAAAAAAGTAGCAGATTCATCTTACAAACGACTTTCCTTAAGACAACCATCATACTTCAGTACATAGCAAGAACGCTACACAGTACTTCCCGCTTTAACAATATTCAAAAGACAGGCACTAAATGGTCAAAATGTACTGAAATTAATCATTTTACTGCATCATAAGAAATTCCAAGCGATGGGTGCAGCAAACCACCATGGTACATGGATACCTGCATAACAAACCTGCACCTTCTGCACATGTACCCCAGAACTTTAAGTGTAACAATAATAATAATAAATATCCAGAGGGGAGGAAAAAAAAACTCCAAGTGAAACAGCATTTTTTTTTCTTTTTTGTTGTAAGCACACAGCAGAAAAGAATGCAATGATTCCTATAATAGTTTGTGGCCACTGCCTTGTTTTGCACCAAGGCACCAGCAGTTTTAGTCTGCAGCTGCTTTTATATCATTAGTACAAATGTTAACGGGGTGAAAGGGATATAACATTGTGATTTTACTGTAAAAACTGTTTGGATCTCACAGACCACCTGCAAGGCTTTCAGAACCCTCCAGAGGCCCACAGACCAAACTTTGACAACTGCTGTTCTAAATAAATGCTCTTAGGTGTTGAAATGATGACAGGAACATCAGTGGCTCCACAAGTTGTATAAGGTGAAGTGATCATAATCTGAAATGAAGAGCTGAGGAGCTCACCTTGAAGCTGCATTTGCATGGCAAGCTGATTTTTACTTATGTATGTCTATTAGAAGGGATAAATTTACATGTAACTGGGCAATAACCAGTGAAATTTTACATATCATTCTGATTATGGGAATAACTAAAGTTATTTCTGATTTATCATGGCCATTCTATTTAATACAGGCTTATTATTAAGTGGCTTCATAGTCAAATTTCTAAACTAGTTTCTAACAACTAAATGTAGCAATTAACATTTCTTCAATATAAAATTAAGCAGAAACAGCTGCTATTTTTTTTTAGTAGCCCACTTTCAGTTTAAACACTGCTAAACAATAAAAGGTAGTCATTTAACTTATAAGGCCATAAATTTTAATTCAAGTGAAATTTACCATGTATAACATTAGGACAAATGTTTATAATCACTGTATCTTCTGATTTTAACATTTAGGCCATCGAAAGATACACTAGAGGAGAATAATACAGATGTTCAAAACGCAATATTCATTAACAACTCTTTTCAATTAAAAAAAAAATTACCCTCTGATGGAATCATGAAGCCTGTCAATTATAAGGAAAACAAACCCAAAAATGTTGATTTAGGAACTGTCTAAAATAAGACAGAGTATACACTAATAATACTTACAGAATAAGCCATTTTTAAACTATACTTAAATTCTAGATATTAAGTCATATATCCTGGTAACTCATGTTATAAAATTACATTTCAATTCATACAACTTAAATTTTATAAAACCAAAACGATAGCAAGGAAGGTTGACTTACTCGATCTGCCAATCCTCCAGGAACTATGGTCCTCACAACCACGCCACTTGTTTTTCCTCCAACTATTCCAAAACCTAGTCCAGAGCCATCATTAATGAGCTCAACCTCTTCAACATGGCCCCAACAAACCTACAAATTAATGGCAAATAAGAGTCCCAGTATCAGTAATACCCACAGATTCTTAGCTTTCCAATATCATCATTACCAAAGTAACAGATTTGCAATAAATTGAACATTCACACAATTAATAAAGGCAGACTAAGATATACAGACAGAGGCCGGGCGCGGTGGCTCAAGCCTGTAATCCCAGCACTTTGGGAGGCCGAGGCGGGTGGATCACGAGGCCAAGAGATCGAGACCATCCTGGTCAACATGGTGAAACC